GCTTATATTACAGCACTTTAGAAAGCAAAGGAAAAAAATGCACATTGCGATTTTTTTTTAGCTTTTTACTGAATCCAAGTTCTAATAGCATTTACCTTGTGAGACCCACAAACAGAATAAATATGGTTATTTTATTATAATGGTTTATTGAAATGCAGACCCAGACTTTTTATTCTTCCCTTTTCTTTAGATTGAGTGGGAAAGACACCCAGATCTGCAATTTATAATCTGCCGATGAAAGACTGAATTTTGAATGAGGCGATTTTTTTTTTTTGTTTGTTTTGATAGCTGATCGTACGGGTTGTGCTTTTCCATCAGGGCGCAAGACAGCCCGTGTGAACGCCCAGCTTGTGCTCTGCCTCCTTGCAGCCTGTGCTCCTCGGGTCTCAGCAGAGATGGGCCGGGCGGCTCCTGCGATGGGAGACCAGCTCGCTGCTCTACGTGGGGCTGGTGAAGCAGCAGCCACCTCTCCTCCTGCTGAAGCAGACTTTCCGCCCCAGCGCCTCGGTATTGTGACCGGGGACGCGGTGCCGCCGGTGGTGTCCGCCCTGCTCGGCCGTTAACGAGCTCACGGAGGAGTCTGCAAAAGCGAAGGCGTTAAACCTGGTGCCCTGGGCAAATTCCGCTCTGGGTTTGTACAATCTGGCCCCCTAAAGTTCCCACAAAATTAAACTGGCGAAGCAGCTCTCTCCCTACTCTATCCGATTGGCTTTGTAGAGGGGCGTGGGGACACACTGGCTCCCACGTTTTCCCCGTCAGGGGCGGAAGGACGTGGGTCTGGTGCTTTATGTGAAGTGCTTTACGATTCTTTGGGATGAAAAGTGTTGATATAAATGCAATGGATCCCGAATTTTAACCATTGATTTGTATGAGTAATTAAGCGGTTCACCCATTTTAACTTAAGGGTTACGATAATTCTTACACTAACGTACCGACTGAGAAAACACAGCATCTCAGTACAGGTGATGGCTCATTAGGGGAGCACTGGGACATTTAATGGGTGTTATTTTTCAGCAACATAGGCTGTGCCACAAATGTGTCTGCTTACCCACATTTAATGATCTTAATTCAAGGAAGCCCAATATTGTGCTGCATAAGGAATTCCTCGACATTTCCTGTTCTGTACCTTTCGTCGTCTTCCCGAAAATCTTTCTACTCCACTATACATATACAGTTAACTCACAACTTCCAAATAAAAGGCTTCGTCAGTGTGGAAAACTAAAATGATCTATTCCCCTGAAAGATGCGCACAGAAATTAGATGCTAATACTATGGCTACTGAACATTACTGTAAAAAGAGGCTACAACTCAAATACAACTAGCAAGAGAATATCAGCCCCTCTTGTTTGGCTTGGTTTATAGAAGGGCTAAGATGTCTTCTTGTACTTCAAATGTATGATAAAATACACGAGTCAATGGGAATTAAAAAAAGAAAAAACAACATGCAGTGCAGAGACCAGATCTGAGAAAACAGCTGTTATTAGCACATTTATTTGAGAATTACAAGTATTAATTACCACAGAGGAATTCCTTAATTGCTTTCAATATAAAATAATCACTTTTACAGAAATAAATCCAATATGTGGCTTAGAATTAAATACCGCTGATTGACTACTAAACGATAATTGAATCTTCAACTAGAACATTAGATTCTATTCCAGGACTGTTGACTTAGTCAGATGAGTAATGATACTCTAGCAGTCAAAGACTTCACAGGAAAATGACATAGTTCCAGCCTCTTTCCCAGAGTATTTCCTAGATTGAGCCCCTCCTTGAAAAACTCAACTTAATTCTGACCTGAGTACCTTTAGGTCAGTTTCTAATCTTTCTTTTCTAGCAAATATCCTTAAAAAGGCCATGTTTATCCAGCTGCTGTAAATGCCAATCGGTTTTGAATAATAACAGTATCTTCAAAAAAGATTCAATCTGTATTTTGCACCAGCATAGAAACTGCCCTGGCGAGAGTAACAGATTTATCAATGTGTGCAGATTCAGGTGCTATTCCTGTTGTGGTTCTTCTGGAATCCAGTAATGTATCCATGTAGTTCAAGTAGGCAGCTGCGTCAGCATGCGTAAGCTACAAAGGAACAAGTAAAGGTTTATTCCATGCTGAGAAGAGAAGTATCCATGTATAGTGGTTAAAATATTTTTTTTCTATTAGCAACTGAAATTTCTTAACACTGTTCAAAAGAGAGTGGAACCTAATCATATCAGTATCACTTCCGCTACATGTCATTTATTGTGTTGAGCAGTAGATTTAAAATAGAAATATTCTGGTATCTTTATTTCATGACAGTGAGGTTCTCTACCTTTAAGCCCGTAGGCTGACTGACAGCCCCTGTGCCTCTGTATTTCTGGGTGTGTCTGAAAGACAAAGTGAGATCAACAGAATCTGTATGAATAGTAGTCCCCTTTTTTTTTTCCGGGTTTTATTTTGGCCCAATTAAAGTTGGGCGGGGTTTGGGGTTGTTGGGTTTTCGGATTCCCCGGGTTGGTTCCCGTTTTTTTTCAAGGCGGGTTTTTGTTTTCTTGACTTTTTTTTTTTTAATCCCGTTTAAAACTGCAAGCAAAGGAAAAGACAATATAATATGAGCCAAGTAGCTCTATTAAAAATCTTTTCAGTGGCAGCATTCACAATGAAACTAGAATGTTACCCTGCCGCCATACAATTGAACTACCCCCAAAATTATAGAGAGGCCCAGATCTTTCCTGGACACCCTCGTACACAAGAGCAATCGCACCCCAACTGGTGGATAGGAAGTACCTGGGGTGGCTGTGCTTCGAACAAGCCAAAGCTACCCAGGCACTGGAGACTCATCCACTGAATATAGTGTAATTGAATTTAATGGTATATAATCCCCTGAAATGAAAGTGGTGGGGTAGAAGGTCTAATGGACACTTAGCAGGGATGGCAAGTCCTAGGAAGGCATCTTTCCTATAGGATCAGTCGGGTCATCCCATCTCACGAGCCAGTAATATAATGTTTAATTAGGGAGGGCTCACCGACAGTATCGGCCGATTTGTCCCCTCGGTCCCGGAAGGAGGTGGTGTCAGCCCATCCCGACCACACCAGCATGCAGGCCCAGGAGGCACACGTGTGAAGCTCTTCTGTTCTTTCATCTCCCGTCAACTTTCTGTGCTGCTGGGGTGGCGAGGCTTCCAGGTGGAGCTGGGCAGGGTCCTCCAGCGCTCCACTGATGTGCAGAGCGGGAATATCATCATCTTCGGCCCCCGGGAGAGCTGGGGGCACTCGGCTGACTGAGGGGCATGGTGTCCGTCAGGGTTTCCTCCAGGAGCCCTGCGGTGGGTCAGGCGCCTGCGTGCCGCTGTGCAGTGTCTCCAGCGATTCTGTCTCACGCGGGAAGAGATTTTATTGTGGCTACTCAAGACTTACAACAGGCAGGGAAGTATTGGAGAAATATACCCGCATGTCTGGGATTTGTTGACAAGCAGCAGTTGACACCTGAAGAAGGCTCAGCGGCCGAAACGTTGTTTTCTCTTTCTTCTTTTTTTTCAGCATGGAATGAACCTACTTGTTCCTCTCCAGCGATGGCGTCCGATCCTGTCCGCGGTGCGGGAGGCCACCAGCGCGCGTTTCGGAGGCTTTGCATGGCCTTCATCTCTGCCGTGCTGTTTAACGACTGAGGTCCCCAAATGGAGGATGTACCAGGAAAACAGACCCCATGATGCACAGTGGTGTAACAGACACAGGAGGGGCTCTGTTGGGACATTTCCAAACGCTCCTACCTGCTGACACTTGTCGGGACACTGCTCCCCTCCTGAGCTGTAATGGGACAACTTGGTCAAATATATTACCCGTTACATATTTCAGCACCTTTGCTGCACTGACGTGTTTTAAAAGAAAAAGGTAATGAAGCATCAAAAGAGGAAAAACATTATACCTAAAAATATGCTAAAAAGAATGAGAAGTCATTCATTACAATAAAAAAGAATACAGAATTAAGGTATTTGTGCTCAGTTTGTATAAAAATCATCATTAAAGAAAAACGATTAGACGAAACATCAAACCTGAAATCTTTACTTAGTAAAGAGCAGTTTTTCCTGCTACTTTGCTGTTTCTACTTCATACTGAAGCTACAGTGTACTTATATGTGTCAAGCTAAAGGATTTTACTTTTCAGATTTGCTCCATTACATTTCATCTGCAATTACCCTTTCTGCGGGTTTAAACAGAGATCCCTCACAAGTAATTACATAATTCTCTCACTTACATAACACTAAAAATGTCATACATGACATGCAAAACACACATAATACTGTTGTATGTTAATTCACGGTAGACCTGTAGAGAGAAGGGATTGATGGTTTAATTATTCCAGCTATATCTTAATCTAATACTACAGCAAAGGAACTCATTTAAAACCATATATGTACATAATGCATCTATATACCGTATATCCAGTTTGTTTTTTATGTAATATCTCCTTAAATATGAGAAATGTTTTGTTACATCAGTGGAATTACAAACCGTTACTTTGAAATTCTTTCTACTTTTAAGACATGATAAGAGTTAGAGATAGTGGAAACGTAATATCTAAAATATGAAACATTCGGATGTCACTGAGACAATCAAAAGTTATTACACATGAGAGGTGAGGGGGGATGAGCTGCAAGATGCGCAAGGTCTCTTGGCGAAGAATGCAAGACTCTTTGATGGTGCTCAGATATGAAACCAACTTGTTTATTTCAGGACAGACACATTTTTTTCAGCATTTAGATGGATTTAACACTTTGTGCTTCCCAGGAGAGGTCCAGCCGCCCAGCAGATATTTAAGAATGAACAGAACATCTGCCCTCACCCCTCCCCCCAGCTCTCACCTCCTTTGCTGGGGCGGGGGAGGGGGGGGTCCTAATGGGCACCTGAAACCATGGTAACAGAAGAGGGGGACCCCAAACCAAATCTGCTGCTTGTCAACAAATCCCAGGCATGCGGGTATATTTCTACAATATTTCCCTGCCTGTAGTAAGTCTTGTGTAGCCACAATAAAATCTCTTCCCACGTGAGACAGTGTTGAGGAACACATTTTGGGGTGGAGTTCTTTTCCCTCTCCTCCAGGATGAAACCTGTATGGTGAACAGTCAACAGAATAGACAGCATCCTAAAAAAACTTTTGCTAAGGTGCATAGCTGTAACACTTTCTGCTTCTGTTCTAAAGGAGACTGATCACCTTGGGGTGAAAATAATGCCCAATTGGCTTCTTAATATGGAGAAATTGGGACTATATTTGCATTACTAGTTGTCTTTTCAAAGGAACAGGTAAAGAATCGTTCTCTGCTGAAAGGTGAAGAAAAGAAGCACTACTGTAGGTGTTTACTTTGGGGCTTTCTTCAGGTATGATGAAGACACCTGAAGGAGGCCCCACAGTCTACATGCAGTGCTTCTTTTTTTTACCTTTCAGCAGAGATTGAACCTGTATCCATTCCTCTGCAGGCCACGCAATGCTGACACAGCTCCCTGCCCGATTGTCTAGCTGTGGTTTATATCCTACTTAGATACGCCTGCCTATCTGGAGGTGGAGCTGTGGAGAACCACACTAAGGCCACTGAGGTGGCATTGCGCTCTCCTGCTGCATCTTGTTCTAATCCTCACGGCAGCCTTCCCTTGAGTCAAACTGGTGCGAGTGTGAGTAATGGAGTGGCCTGTCACTCTGCCACACAATGAAGGTCACCACCGAACAAAGATAGATTTGTCTTCCAACCAACGTCATGGTTTAAAGCTAAACCTAATAGTTGTTAGACCGCTTATCCAAACTGTAATTGAAATGCCCGGGGGAATTCACTGGGACCGGAGCCCCATCCATCACTGCACTGCTTAGGCCTGGGGTGGTGTAATGCTGAGAGGTTAATAGCCAGATTATCGCTGACACTCCTGTTTATTGTTTTCACAGCCACAGCCCTGTGTGGCTATATAAGCATACAGTACACACAATCAACAGAACCACTGCATTGGAACAAATCACTGCTTACTCAGGAGGAATTTCTTTTCTCCCTTTTATTCTGCACTATTTCCAGCAATGCTTTCAGAAGACACAAGGAGAAGACGCTGCCATGCTTTTGAGTGTTCCTACCGCCCTCGTGATCATCCAGATCTTTTTGTGTGCTCAAATAAACAGTTACACACCAAATTCAGGATATACAGAATTGACACCTATTTGCCTATAAAAAATATTTTATGTCTAAACTCAAAGTCCTCCTGCAATTAAGTGTGCCGACTCCACATCGGAAAATTTATGTTGGACGGTGTAAAGGAGTCGATGTTAAAATGAATAAAAAAGCTAAGCATCTTAAATCACTTTGCAACGAATGAGTCACCGAGCCTGGAAAGTTGAACCCACGATCAGTACTGCAGTAATCTGCAATGACCATGTTAATAGGTTTTCTCTGAGTAGCATGGGCTTGATGACAGCCAGTTTTCCTGTCCTGGATCTGGAAGGGTTAAACACAGAGCAGACTTTGTTGGTCTCTAATGACAAGGATCTGGAGAGGAGATCAGAGACATGGAGAGGTGTGATATCGTGATGACCCCACAGGAGTGACTGCTGCTCCTCACTTTGACTCGGGCCAGTGAAAGTTGCTGGTTTTCATACACAGCAAGGGAATGGAGAAGAAAGAGGCTTGGATCACGATGAAGGAAGGAAACAAAGGATTGTCGGTCCCAGAGGAAAACACAAGTCAGACACACAAAACCTGTCTGACCCCAGGGAGGTCTACAACCTGTTGTTGTGGCTTGCCAGTAAGGGCCCATTGTTAAAAGCAGGGAAATGTACCAGCTGATTGGTTAAAACAGGCCCTTTAATGTTTTGTAGCTGCCCGGAGACCAGATAATCAGAAATCTGTCAGTAATATCTCTATGCAGCCCATGGATAATAAATGAAAAAAAAAAACTTCCTTTTAAAGAACTTCGTCCACAGGGGAAGATTGCAAAACTTAAAATGCATCAAAAGGAAAAAATACATCAAATATCCAAAATGCATATTTGGGTTTCTACAACTGGTTACGAGCAGGTTTTGCTAATGTGTGGCTACAGAAGATCTTAACCTTTAGTAATTCCTTCTGCGATGGGGGATTTTCTGCTTAAGCAGACAAAACTAATGAAATCTATATTAAGAACTCAACTGACATGACAGCAAAAGAAAGAAGACGGTCTTCTCTGTCAGTAGTGGGAGTGAAGAAGGAAACATGACAAAAGGAACACATTTTAGGGAAGCAAAATTTTCCACATTCTGATTCCACATTTTGGGGAAATCAAATTTTAAAAAAAATTTCAGCCAAGGTTCAGAAATTGAACAGCAGTCATCTTGTCTTTTCCCCTAACAAGATAGATAGTGAAATCTATGTTAGAGGTTCAACAGTCAAAATTAAACAGGTTCTGGGTTCTATGTGCTGAGGACACAGGAGAAAGCACACATAATGGCAAATCAGGGTAAGACTGAAGAACAGAGTCTTTCATGGAACCATTCAAGCCATTTATTTGAGTATTAGAAACAGTGCAGATTAGTAAAACAGCGTAACATTTCAAGACATGAAAGCCTTTTATTGTAACCCAGATACATCCAACTTTTTAGTTCATCATTTTTATAATTTGTTCTAATGGAATATAAGGTTTGCTGATACTATCAGCAAAGCACTGTTATCTTGGTATATGAATACTAATTATCTCTAATCATTTCACAATGCTAGAAGGACATTCCTAGCATTGTGAAAAGGCCTTTAATTGATCATACACCTCACAACGATTTCTGCTTGCCCTATAAAACACCATGACTCTGGAAGATGTTGCTTGTAAGATACATATTCACTGTATGCATATTTCAACCAACAGGGCTATGGTTGGGAAACGGTACACAAGGACTTTTAGCAATAGTCTGGATATTCTGAGAATATGATTGGAATAACCTTGATTTTAGATTATGCAGGAAAGGAGATTGAGACTGAGTCTGGATAAATGATTGTGGTGTGATGATGACAGACAAGAGATGGTCTGCACAGAAGCCATCAGCAAGGATATTAGAGGCCAGGAGGAAGAATTCTCTGGATGGGAACCCAGAGCAAGGATAGTGCTGGAGGGGGGGAGGGGTTATTGGTCTGGGATGAAAAGCCATGGAGTCATGGAGCGATACCTCTCTTGGCCTGATCTGGGGAAGATGGAAAAGGCTCGGAATCCAATTTTGATCGCACTCCATTTGCAATCTCCTTCTCCCTGATAGGGGCTAATTTGCAGCAGTGGGGGTGAGAAGGTGCTGGCGTGGTGTAGCATGTGGTAAGAAAAGCTATTTGTTGCCCCATCCTGCTGCAGTGCAGTGCAACTCGTGTCAGAGGTTGATGATAACGAAGCACAGAAGAGCAGAGAGAGGGAAAAACCAGGTGGAAGTATCAAGAGAATAGGCGCTCGGATCTGCTGAGGCTGATTGAGAAAGAAACTGAACAAAATGAGATACAGGATTCAAGCTTGCTCCCTGGACATCTGGAAACAAAAAGACATTAATGCTGGTGGTAGGGACTGTAGAGAGTTGGTGCTGCTCCATCAATATGAACCACTGTGTTCCCCCTGAAGATCCCAAAATGTTTTCCAGGCACTTATACTGCATGCACAGTACAATAGTCGGCCTAATGTTTTGTCAAAGCGGTGTTTGATTCTATGTCCATGTTTAAAAAAATAAATAAAATAACAGCCTTCAAAGTTTTTGTGCAAATCAAAACAAAATATTATTCACAGTGTTCATTGAGAAATGATTTAGATTTTGACATCACAAGCTTTAGAACGTATTTTACTTCACAGTTAAGCGGTATATTTACTGTTTTACAATTGACCGTATTGTGAATGCACGTTTTACAAGAGAGAAATTGGAGTAATGTGTTAATCTTACAGTACAAATGGGTCAACAAAGTTGCCATTTTAGATACACTCAACCACTGCAATCTCAAGTTATTACAACCCAAGCAGTCCTCTGTCTGCTCTGTATTTTAACACCAGATCCCCCAACACTGACAAGCAGATTCCAGCCTCAGTCTCCATTTTTATTCCTGTCTTTGTCAGAGGGTACAGGCACCAGGGTGACATATTCGCAGTTGCCTGTCCTCTTGTACTGCACACTATTCTACACAATTCTGCGGGACTCCCTCTGGTATCCATGGGGATTATTTCATCCGCACTGAGCAAATAAGAGGCCCTGATATTTGACTGCAAAAAAACGTATTTGTTCAGTTGACCGACAACTTTTTAGTGATGGGCCGAATGACCTTCTCTCATCTTATGCTTTTCTAACATTGTGTGATTAATATTGTTGATGGAACAAAACAGCTTAAATTAAATTTGCAGCATTGTGAGATTTAGCTCATTGTTGATGACAAGAAGGGACTGCACATAATTAAATGTATGATTTTTCAGAAGGTCATAAAATGATCTTGCTACATGGATATTGCCATATATATACAGTATACAAGTACAGTACAAGTAACATTTTCAAACACTGTTTTAGCTCAGAAATCTAAAATATGGATAAAGAGGTGTGATTGAAAGGAAACATGCATGTGTATAATTTATTTTACGTCGTAAATGAGCTGTAATACTCATGTGAAAAGGTACAAAGATACCAATAGTCTTAGCCCACGTAACCCATGCAGAACACATCAAAACAATATCATATCAGAAAATCAATTGCTTTCTCTGAACACGCTGTATGCCAGGTTTAGGCCAGGGCACTGGATTTTAAGCAGGCGGCAAAGATCAGTTTAGAAGACGGAGATGTGAAAAATCATCCAACAGGATAATAGCACACACACAGCTGAAGTGATATTTTATTGATGTCATGGGGATCTGGCCTGCCAGTCATTGACTTTCTACTGTAACTTTCCAAATGTCATACTCATAAGAAACACAAAGAAATAACAGTAGTCACTGACACACATCCTGAGCGGATGAGAATGAGCACTTTTCACTGCGCCGGAATAAGGCTGGATAACATTTGTTTCACCCTATCAGCGTTGTAGGGAATTCCAAAGAAATAGTTTTGTTGGGTTCTTCGCCCCTTTTTACCCAGCTAAGGAAATGACTCCTGGTCAGATGGACCAGTACAGGAGAAGAATGTATAGATGTGTATTTTTATATTTTCCGAAAGCATCTAGCTCCTGGTGGGCGCCATGGCGACCCGCAGCCCCTCCCGGAAGTCACGCGCTGGGCACGACCTGGAGGCGCCTGGGGCTCCAGGGGTGTCACGGAGCCGGGGGACTCGAGAGAGCCGAGGCCGCGGCCCAGCTCCCGGCTCCCGGCTCCCGGCACCCAGCCCGCCACCGAGCCGAAAAGCCCGCACGTCGCGCCGGACTGACGAGCGAAAAATGAACATGGTTCCTTTTCAATAAAAGCTGTTTAAGTCACTTGGGTGCATACTAAATACCCCGTTTTAATACAAGTGTACGTAGAACACAAGTGTACGTAGAACAAGACAAGTGGTGACATACGGTGACAAAAACCAAGATCATTTTTGTTTCCTGCCTTTTATTTAGGGGCCATTTAGCTTAATTACCTACTACGTTTCTAAAATAATTGGTGTGACGTTACATAATAACCATCCGTGGCTGCCCAGGCATATTTGTTGTCTGAAAGTTCAGGTTCCTCGCCAGCCGGACCTGTGAGGATCTCCCGGGATCCACTTCCGATCGTCCTCCCCCCGACGCGCAGCGAGTTCTGAGTGACCCTGATCCCGCCGCGGTCGGGGGGCCGCAGGGCGGAGCCCCGGGTCTTTCCCGCTGGTTCGGCCGAACCATGCCTGCACCTGGACCGACCTGAAACGCCCAAAAGGTCGCAGACGTCCTGTTTTTTTTCCCTTATAAGTAGATCGAGACGAGGAGCGCCGGAGGGTCCGTCCTTAACAGCGCGAATTGGGTGCATAAACTATGAATCGGTAATGATACTGGTATACCCACCAGTGAGTGGAATTAGGCTTTTTAACAGTATGTGCTATGGGCATTAGGGGTACAGTGTTTGGACAGCTCATTGACAAATGCAACAGCGATTCATCTCAGGGGGGGCAGAAAAAGACAATGTGTACGACCCCACTGTAGTAGGAGTTAAATTTATGATTTTGTTTTCAAAACATTTGTAGCTTTACGACTGGCTCCTGCGATCCGAATATGATTCGGAGACGTAATCGCAAGAAAAAAAAGTCGCTTCCAGAAAATATTTATACAAACGAGAAACTATCCACTACAGAAAACACTTTAAATAGACTGTGCTGTTCAATTTTATAGGTAGCTATTCTTCATACGACAGGCTCTGCCAGTAGCCTACCACCTGCAAATAACAGTTTAAAAAGCCCGTTCTTCACAAACGGCGCTTGAATTAAAAATTGTGTGTAGAACAGCATCATAATGTGAATGTTTTAGCCGAGAACAGTGTGGCATGTACAGCTACAGTACAGTGTAACACAAGCACACATCAACAGACGAACTTTGGGAACGTGAGGAGTATTATTTCCAAGACACCGTCTCTCGAAACGACGCGATAAAATGTGGACCCTTCTGAACTTACTCAAGGTTTAGCGTTTTAGGATAAAACTAGAAGCGTTGCTCTCACCCTCATCGCTTATGGATGAGAGAAGCTGGACGGTGAGGCAACATCAGGGCGATAATGCGAGCCAGGTGTCTCTCTGATCCTCGGTAATCGGTCAGCTGCCACTCGTGCAATCAATAAGATCCCGATGACTTTCTGGCGCTCGTATTTTATGCTAACTTGAGATCACACACAAGCTGATTGCGCTTAAAGAGTCAGTTGCGCTCCTATATGCCACATGTTTAATAATTTTCTTGGTAGCACCACGCAACATTTTTAACAGGAACTATGAAGGCGCATGACTTTCAGCAGTCGTTACGAAACCCCTACAACAATGACGACGATGTTTTACGATGCAGTTCTGCATACGTCGCTCACACAGCCTCTGGAATGCATGGAGCCGTGCCTTTAAAAACCACAGCCACTGTATGCAGGTTGTTGAAATGTTGTCCACACAAACACATCCCCTCCTTCTCCCCCCGTGCACGGTCTCGACAGAAAGCTCTCTTAATCTGCTTACTTTGCACAAAGGCGTTATTTTTCTATCTTGGCTGTCTCATATATTTTTTTTTTTTACAGCAGACATCTAATAAAACAGACTGAAATTAAATTAAACGCTTATACCAAGCACGGAGGAGTCTGGTCTATTTGCGAAATTCAGCACCTTTTTCTTATTAAAGAGATAATTAATTGCATTTCATTAAATGCGTTAATTTAATTCCAGGCAACCTGAGTTTAATCCATTGAAATCTAGAAACACTGATATAAACAGAGGCTCCTACTGCTGCTTCCAACTGTACTGCGTCTTCAGAATAGATTGTACTTGAACACACACCGGCTGATCAAAGAGAATAGGCGTACTTTAATGAAAGATGGTATGCATAATTAATTTTACAGTATATACAGTAAGAATTTTAATTAAATGTCTTAAGTGCGCTTCATTTTAAATAATTTTTTGTATAGAATTTTTATAACCGATAAAACATTTTCTACTGTTGATTTTTTCTGCAGACCCGCATTTCTCTTAAGTCTTCAAACGCCCCGACTTCATAACTTAAATATAGCGGCTGTTTTTAATGTCTGTTTTTCGATGTTTTTTTTTTTTTTAGAGTTGTTACTTTCGGAAAAGAATTGGCTTTATAGGATTTGATTTCTTTTCTATTTCGATGTAGTTGAGAGGCAAAGCTTCCTTTACAACAGGAAGTAGATGACATTGTTGTGTGCGATCTCTTTTGTTACAGAAAAAATTAAAAGAGATAGGTTTGTTCGTTGTTTCCCCGGCCTGGTTCATTATATAATTTGTAAGCAACACATATTATATGTTCAGTGTTTGTCGGGGTTTATGTTCATTGTTGAAAACATTTTATCCTGATGGACCACTTTCTCAACATACCCGTTTCAAATAAGAACTGCCATAAATTAGGGTATAATCAAATAGAACTGTATGGTTATTACGAGTATGTTACGATTAATGATAAAAATATCAACATATCCAACACACGTATTATCGGAGATCCTGCGCTGATTCTGACGCAATTACAGTGGAAAGGTCCCGTTTGTGTTTGGGGGACCCCTGGAACTCTCCGACGAACTCCCGGTGGTCCCCGACCCCCTAATTGAAAACCAGTAATATGACATGAGAACTAGAATAACGCGTTTAATTTATAGCTGTATAAAACGGGTTTTATCGTGCGCACTTGCTGCGTGCGCCCTTCACGGAGAGACCTGGTGGAAAATGTCTCAGGGTGAGCGAAACGTTAAAGAAACACTGCAATCCTGCTGGTGTGTTTTTAATTCAGAAGAAAACAGGCGGAAAAAAAATGAACGAGGGGAAAAGTACCTACACAAATAGGTGGCAACACCCAGCTTGCAATCGGATTACTAACCAGTGCGCTGGACTGCGGTGAGATGCTTACAGTAGGGTAAGGACCGAGCTCGTCACATTTAAAAAGTACAGTATCATTTCCACCACAGTCACGTTTAAAGCAGAACACTAACAGGCTGCACTAATAAAGCCAAACATTTCGGCGTGTGAGGGCATTAAAGCAATTACATTCTTTTAAAGGACAGAAAGGGGGACTTTCAGACATCACATTCCGGGTCCTCAGCCTGTCGTGCTGCGCAGTTTCTGACGAGTGAAGCAGCTACATATTTCACCTAAAAAAACCCCACATATAACCAGCAGTCCGTCCGCACCACAACCCGCTCCCTCAGCGTCACCCTCGCTCTCCGAGAGGCTGAAGCGACGCCAGATGTAAGCGTTAGCAGTGTTCCCTCTCCTGCTCTCTCCTCACGCAGAAGAGATGTCGCTGTTCAAGTGCTTTGCTATGCAGGGCTCGGCGGCACTGTGGCAGGTGTACCACCCATTGACAATTCCCTTCTGGAAAGGAGGGGCGCTGTGCGACTGAAAAACCCGGGGACTCTGGGCCAGAGCATTTCCAGGCTGGCTGGCGGGGAACTGCAGGTCAGTCCTGAAAGGTCCCCTCTGTAAGAGCAGCGGGTCCAAGACCGAGGGCGAGCGAGCGGAGGAGCAGTCCAAACCTTTGTGGTACTGGGGAGGGAACGGAGTGGCCAGCGAGGAGCCGCTTCGGGCCTGTGTGGCGAACGAGTCCGCCGCCGCCGCCGCGCCGGGCAGCGCCGGGCACGAGGAGGCGCAGAGCACGACGGGCTTTGGAGGAGGGTCGCTCTGGAGGTCCCGGGGCTTGGGAGACCCGCCCGCGGCGGGCTGCTCCCGCTCCTCGCTCGCCTTGGCGCCGTAGGCCTTGCAGTGCAGCTTCATGTGCTTGCGGAGGGAGCTGGGGTGCGTGTAGCACTTCTCGCAACCCCTGACCTTGCACGTGTAGGGCTTATCGCTGGAGTGCACGTGAGAGTGCTTCTTCCGGTCGCTGCTGTTCGCGAATCTCCGATTGCAGCCCTCGAACTCGCATTTAAAGGGCTTTTCACCTAAACGTGCAAAGGAGGGAAAAATGACCGCGTGTTACCTGCTGCATTATCACCACTTTTTGTTTTTGCTTCTTATTTCAGGTGATTTCAAAGTTGGGCACAACTATACAGCAAAAAGAGGCTTTCATGTGCGACAGCTACGCTCTACCCCAGGGATGTGTATCGTTAGTTTATTTTTCTTCGTTCACAAAAGCAAACATGCAAGAGGGACAGTGATTCATAATTTAAAACGGGTTCTCTATAGTGTGCTTGTTCTCAACCTCCGCAGCTTCACGGAAATATCCTCAGCAGAATAATCGTGAATATGAATTTCAAACAGGCACATCCGACAGACAATAGGAGACACGGGAGAGCTGTACAGAAACCGCTTGTAATTTAGTCACTAACAGCTGTAAACCTATAAACTCGTCAGCACGGGTACAGCTTTATGGGTCATGTAAGGTAAAACATATACTATTACATCCCAACATATGTTACCACAGTCTTTTATTACATGTAAGTGAAACACAACACTCACATCAAAGTATGCTTTTAATTATGTCTCTTTTGTTGAGAAACGGGGAAATATTTTAGGTAGATTTAAACAGGCCTACCTAGTCTGTAGTCTACTTGGTTATAACCTGCCTGGGTATTGTATTAATGTTGTCTATAAAACCAGATACAATGGAGCTCCTTATCAGCTTATTATTGGTCGCAATATTGTTCACAAATTTGTTTTGCGTTTCTCATATATATTAAAAAGAATGAGCTGCTGAGTAACATGGAACTAGAAAGTGTTACCATATTCATTTTCTTCTTTGCCTCAATCTTAGAAAGGACAACATACAGTAATTCTTAAATGTTCTAGTGTCTTTCCAATATAGGTTTTAATATTGTGATTGATAAATAATAAATAGAACGGTAATATTTTTTTCGGTGGCTTTGAAAATAGCTCAGTGAATAATTGCCAGCATTATATGGTTTATTTTAGGAGACTGAAGCTCGGTTGATCATCATGCTCGTCGTCATTATTAGTAGTGCAGTTGTCACAACTTGTACATAGTGTGGTCTGAGATATAGCTGCGCCTACATTTGTCATTTTATACACCCACCGTGGTACAAACTGTAGGAATAGGCAGAACACTGCGTTAATATTAACGTCTGCAGAAGTATGCAGCACGCATCCATGCTTACATGACTAGGATATTAAAGAGCAAACCACACCAGTTTCTCGCGAGTCGTTTTCTGAAATACGCGCCCGCAGGCTCTGTGTGAGCATCACAGAGAGCGCTTGGAGTTTCCTTCATGGGGCTCCTGAGCGCCAGGCGTGTGAGATACGTCACAGCTCTCCGGTGTTCCGCAGGCGTGCTGGTTTCTGAGTAAGAGAGCAGCACCCTATTGACAACCTCAGTAGCCGGTCTTATTTACAAAATGCACTTCATATGCACTTCATAACCAGAATATTTACATATGTTGCATTTATAAGCCTGCTAAATAAAGCGTTTGAATAACTTAACACACGATTTAAATGTGTTTTCCCCACATCCTTATCATCACTTTTTAATTAAGATTGGGTCTACAATACTCCGATTGTTTTGTCACAGAAAATCGTGACCAAAAAGAACATATCGACGCCGAAGAAGAAAATACGTTTTTAAAACGAACTTTGTTTCTTTCGGCATTGTTAAAAGCAATCCCACCTGCATGTGTGTGCATAAAGAAAACACGAAATCACTTTAAGGCGATAAAACGCTTTCAATTAATAATAGAAATTATATTGACACCTTTTCTGCTTCTACGTTGGTTATTCTTATAATGAAACATTAAAACACATACATTTGAAAATATGGGGTTTTCTCATCTCTAGCATCTAATAGCAGGGACACTGTCGCTTTAAATATTCTCACGGGACTATTCCACAGCATGCTGCATGCTCAATGTATTAACTCTCCAGAAAAAGTTTTTTTATTATAAGAAATAAGGTTCTTGCTTCGGCTTTTAAGATGTTTTAAGAATATTTTAAAATTCATACTTCTATTTTTAAATCCAAAACGATATCATATAGCTCCCCAAAGAGAATGTATAATATCTAACACAATCTGAGACCCACAACTCAATTTTGTTTTGCAATTACATAATTTGATAGTAAAATACTTTGTGACAGCAAATGACTAACTCAAATAAACCACTACACACATTTATACCTTTACGCAATTATAGGCATTACATCTGATACAATAAGGAAATTAAAATAATATAAGATAAAACACTTAACGTTTGTTAGATACTAAGATAATGAAACTTAAACGAGAAGGAAAGAATCGCGACGAAAGTAACAGGCAGCTTATAGACGCTCTGAAACAAGACCCAGAGACTGTTTCAAAACTCCCAGCAGTGTCCCCGCTTTACAATCAAGTACTTTTGTGCGAGCAGACAGATGGAAGATGGAAGATGTTTTAATTAAAAGACCCCGAGGAAAAAAAAAAAGTATCTGCGAAGTATTCTGGTTAGTCTTTCAATCGTGTTTATATAAACAAAAATTACATCATTGTTTTCATATAGCGAGGATGAAATTAAAATGATACAACTATCCCTAGCTTCTTGATGTAGGGAGCGTAATATATTCTTATTATTATGATTATGATTATTATGATTAGATGAAAAGGCTCTGACCAACCTGTGTGCGTTCTCTTGTGGATCTTGAGGTTCTCTGATCTGGCGAAAACTTTCTCGCACCCGTGGAAGGGGCAGGAGAAAGGCTTCTCCCCCGTGTGCACCCTGACGTGGTTCACCAGCTTGTACTTGGCTTTGAAGGGTCTCTTTTCCCTGGAGCAGCGCTCCCAGTAGCAGACGTGCTCGGCTTGCTCTGGTCCCCCAACGTGCTCCACCGTCAGGTGAGTGACCAGCTCGTACAGCGTCCCGAAAGTCCTGGAGCAGGGCCGCTCCCCGGCCCCCTCCTGGTCGCCCCGCCACTTGCAGACCAGCTCTCGCTTGACGTTCTGCCTGGAGCACCTGAGGAACGGCTCCGCTCCTCTCTGCACGGCCATGCCCATCGGCTTGTACAGCCCGTACAGCTGGGTCACGAGCTCCCTGTGGCCCCGCGCGCCTCCGAGGGGCTGGCCGTAGGCGGGAGGTCTGGAGAGCAGGTCCCCGGACAGACCCAGCACCACCGGGCCGTCGGGCGAGCCGTGGGCCTGCTCGTGGTAGGCAGTGAAAATCGCGTGGCTCCTGCCTTCTCTATAGCTGGGAAGGTCACGGTACCTTCCAAGAGCCCCGTGGTGGGAGCTCCGCGTCGCCAGCTGATCGGTAACGGGCGGCATGCTCGTCCCGGAGAGGTCGGCTCCACCGACAATGCCCCTAGGATTTTGTGCTACGCGGTGGCTTGCGTATCCGGAGTCTGAAGGCTGGGGGGCAGAGTAACCAACATAAGCACCGGACCTCGACTCGGGGTAGTCTCGTAAACTGTGCGAGGGGCAGAGTTTTAAGGAGCTGCCGGTGGGGTGCCCCATGTGCTCCCCTGCCAAAGGTGGCAGCACCACGCTGGGTTCAGTATTAGTCTCCCCAGGATAGACGTAAGAAAAAGGGCAGCCACTAAACCTCGGCAGGCCTGTCATGTTTTGTTGTGAGTGCGGCTGTGAACCTGCAAAATCAACCAATCTTATGCTTGGGATGTGCCTAGAAATCGTGTTTTCCATCATCCCTGCTGTATATCATCTGCATGTGGCATTCCTAGCCCTGAACCTCGCCGGAGAAGCAGGAAGGAGGCTCAAGCTAGTTAAAGCTGGTGTACGTCCCATGCCGTTTACTGTGCCCTCTTGCTTTGTGGCAATAACCGTAGTAGTAAAAAATGTCTCGAAACAGGCCATGGCGCGATATAAAAGCACAGCAGGCAGATCTGCTTTTAAAAAATACTGCCGTGGGATTGGTTGCAATTCGGTATGATTGACGCGAGCTGGGCTTGTTTTAAAAGAGACACGCATGCGTTCGCTGCACGACTCCTTTCAAAAATATTGCACAGAGATGCTTTGAAATGTGCCGCGTACAAACTGCTAAATATCTACGGCTGTTTGACTCTCTGTGTACAGTGCGCATGCACACCCCAAAAACACCTCGGACGCTCGGGTGCTCGTGCTCTTTACTGCTGATGCACAACAGCAAGCGATGCCTCTGAAGTCTTCAGAAGTAAGGCGATATTGAAGCGCCCTAATGGGTGCAAAACGAGAACAATCAAAGCCTTCTGTCTGTGGCTCTTTTAACTGAGCCTCTCGCAGGAGCGCGGTGTAAGGTCACCGGTGTGAACTGTACATTAAGCCACAACAACCCTGTAATACGCTGTGAAGATAAATAGTGGCCGTGGCAGAAATACATTTCGCTTTCGGGCGATTTATTACAAAGAACGTCTATCATTTCTGAAGGGGTTGTAAATCTCAGTATTTCTAATGCGTATATATTTATGCAGGACGCCAACCCAGCAATAAATCTGAACTTCCTTTCTGCTCTGTGGGTCTGTTTCCACGCCGCTCCTTGTGGGATGATTTAACAAACACCAAGAACAGACAATGCCAAATCAACAACTTATTCCACAAAGTGTTGTTAATTAGTATGGATTAATTATTATTATTATTATTGACTTACTAATTCGGTAAGCGTTGAACGGAAGGATATGTTTATCGTTTGCCGTTAAAATGCAACACGGCTCTTTTAAGACTCCGTTAGTATTTTCTTACTAAGATCATACTCTGGTGTGATAGGCTGAGAGACAAACGGACACACGCCTTTAAATTCGCTAGAAACTGAGAGAAGATTTTCATTCACTTTAATTCCATTCAAAACTACAAAGGAGATCCTCTAAGAGGGTTTGGTGGAATGGAGAGTAAGAGGGGGAAGGCTTTAATCATTTTTAAAAAGTTTCGCACATCTTATTAAAGGTTTCCCGAGTTGCGAGCTGCGTAAGAGCGTTAAAACGGAGGACTTTTATGTGACTGGTTTGACACATTTATAGAAAATTAAACTTAGCTTCTCACGTTGTTGGGTTATAAGTACGTGTTTAGTGGGTTAAGCTGTAAATTATGTAGACCAATAAAAAAAAAAAACGATTTCGGGTTTTTTAATTAGTTTTTGATTTTTCTGTCGGTCAAATCTAGCCCCCCCCAACCTTACACACAACATTCTTCTCACCAGTAACATGAACAAAAAGATGAAGGTTGCGGTCTCACCACACACACCACCAAAGCGAGAAAATGACCTCACTGGTATATTCCAAAGTGAGAATTTTTTTTTTTTTCAATAAGCAAAGATCATATAAATATGACATTTTAACGACATGGTGGTGCATTCAAACTTTTAATTGTATTTAAATGGCAACGTTGACATATGCGAATCACTACGGGGTGCGTTTCCCCCCATTAAAACCTTTACCTGTTTTGCCTTCGCTTGCACGGTGAGCGATTCCAGCGCGCTGGCGCTGATCAGACCTGCTGTCTGAGAGGCGCCCAGCAGAGCCGCGCGGAGGCACGCGCGACGTGCGCCGCACCTGCGCGCCGCTGTCACTGACACAGAACTTTTACCTGCAGTCAATACGACTGGAAAATAAAACGTGCACATCGACACACAAGCCGAATACTCGCCTTTAAAAACCGTCATCAGAAAGCACGAAATAATCCTTTCGCTAACATGCTATCGTGTGGCTTACCATTATCTGCGCCATGTATAAATACGGGACCCTAATACTATCAATTCAACGTAAATAATTATTTTTTTTATAAATATTTGTATTTGTCTTCTTGCTCGAACGTGTGGTAAATTCCCCCAAATGGTGCTTCTTTATAAACCGAAAGCATGTTGTCTGGGTGACAGGACCGACAAATCAAAGTTAAACGAGTGTTCAAAAACCATTCCTGTTCTTCTTGTGTATTTTAAGTCACGAGGTGTAATGCAAAAGGGTAACAGTGGGATCACAAAAATCAGATTGTATTAAAAAGAAGTCGTCGTGGCTACGAAATACAGAAAGTGATGTTTAATCTTCCGAAGGACTGGTTGCGTTTCTCTTTCTGTCGCGTGGCGTTCACCTGCAAAACCGTGCGCGAGGCTTTCAGGTTCCTGTTTTTCGGTGAACTTTTTTCAAAAGAATCTTCTTATTTCACCCCAGCGCGCGTCATTCAAACACAACAGACAGCAATCATTTCAAAACGAAATTCGTGAGATTAGCTTGTTTTTAAATTCCTGTATGATTTGTAGTTTTGTTATTTTAAAATTAAAAATATATATATATTCTAACTCGTCAACTGTACACATCCAGGTGTGCGGTATGTATTTTGTTGTTGTTGGTGGTAATCGTCATGACGGTGGGTACTTCGAACTTCGATGCACGTTTTTAATTTGGTAAATAATATTGCTGAGTATACGCAGAACGTCAGTATGAACCTTACTGTATTATTTGTTTTGAAAATTTCGTTTACATCAAAGAATTAATAACCTGTGTCCCATTCTCGGATACTACAGATACAGGCAGCAGGTATGAATGGTGAATTGTGAGACTGCAGTTTTAAGGATCTTGTAAAACGAAAATCAGAGCAATAAAAAACGTCACGTTTATAGGAGTTTTTTTTCTAATCGTCTACAGGGTAAAATGAACAATTGTAAAACATGTTTCATAATAAATCAATTTTTTTTCTTTTTAAAAAACCGCGAAAGCGAGTGAACTGCAGAGATGTTTATTTTTTTTGAAAAACCGGTGCAAAAAGAAAGTGGCAGAAATACAGCGTGGATACCTGAGGTTTTTTTTTTTACACCTTGGTATGGACTCTCGGTTTTAATACTCAACAACTATCAACAACTCGTTTGAGTCACGTCGAGCAGTTTGCTCTCCTATTCACCTGAGAAATCATTGGGAAGAGGAAAATATTCATCATTTGTCCATAGGGTGCAATAATGACTACACGTTGCTAACATTTCCCTCAATACAGAACAAACACCACCACGAGACAGAAAAACCATTCGTTTTTCACGTTAGATTAATTATTGTAGGCTAGGAAATCAGTACAGGAAGCCGTCACCTATTCTTGTGGAGCTCCGCTATATGACAGAACACGTGCTTGTTTTCTCTGTAAAAGGAACTCCTATTCTGTCTAGAGTAAAGCACACACTTTATTTGGCCTTTTTAACGGTAGTAAACAAATTCTTAGCGGAATAACGTGTGTGCTTGAAGGAGTTGGGGAAAGACGAGAAAGAGAAGTTCAATTGCTACAGTTACCACTGACCGTTTCCGCGTCTTTTGTGAGAAACACACGAAGAACCACAAACTTAAATTATGATGTGCGATGCTTTACGCAAATCTGTTAACACATTCTGTACCAAATTAATATGAATTAAACTGGCCACACAGTGCACCGTTCTGAAAAGGGGAAAATAATTCAAATTAAACCAGACACCTTTTATTTATTTCCTGACACAGGCTGAATTGCCTTTATTTTTGAGCCTTGAATGGTTTCCACTGCCGAATAGCGAAACGTATTACCGCAAAACATGTCTCGAAAATGAGTCTTATGATATTTTAGATGTAATTTCTGAATACAAAATGTTTTATCCCCTCAGAAAATATGCCGTTAGGACTATGTTATATATTCCTAAATTAAGTCTAATATTAGGCTACTGTTTCAAGACTTACCTGCTTATCTAAACTTATCCGGCGTGTATCCTCATAGCGTCACCAAGTTTAGGCTTTCTGCCACACAGGAATCTGAATATTTTGGCTCTCGCTGCTTACTGGAGTCAGGAACTCATAAAGGCCTGTATAAAGAAGGGAACTACACCCATACGCGTGTGATGCACTGTAAACTGTATATTCAGTGATTATTGTTCAGGCGAATTTGTAAAAATAGGATCATTAAAAATGGATATATATACTGGGAGTTTTCTAACACGTTGAACTTTGTAGGGTTGCAGATTGTGACTTAGGCTACTATTAACGGATTGCTTCGTGTCTATTACGACAATAACGCACTGAACAACAGTCCAGATCTGTTGCAAATGTAGAACTAAGTAATTTTATACATGCTTTAGGGCGTATGTGGGCCCTCGGACTGATAAAGTGCCAGAAAAGTGAACAGAGTGCAAATATTACGAGTGTATCTGGCTTTGGCTAAGTGTTGTGAAAAACGGTAAGGCTACAGACCGGGGGTCTAATTACCCTCTGCCTGGACTGGGACTCTACAGGTTCCTAAACCACAGAGGTAGACGGACAGGCTCCTTGATACACTATGTCTCTGAGTATTTCGTGGCTTCGGTTGCCAATCAAGAGGCATTCACGCGCAGAAAGGGTCAATAAAAATGTGCCGCCGACTAAAAAGACAAGACAAAAGAACCACCCAAGAGTCATAGGTCACCTAGTCACTGATTGAGATATTGGCAACTTTTTCTTTTCTCAGTCTCAAGAGTTAACTGGAGTGTCCTCCGACGAGCTACCAAAGCGCCCAAAACAGGCTCTGATGCCGTGACTCGGAAGACACAAACACAGTAAACACAACTAGATGAGCTGAGATACTGATACAGATCAAACATGGCGGGAAAAGGAGGTGTTAACTATGTACCTGTTAGCTTCTGGCAGAGATTTAATTAGAGGCTTGCGTAAAATTGATCCGATTTCTTAGAAATATTGTTTTGGTAGAATTACCGTATCTAATGGCATTTGAACATATTAATTAAAGGTCCATAGTCTCACACAGGGGAATGCCAACAACGAGGCTCTCTCTTCCTTTGGTTAGATTTTCGAGAATGTGGCGCTTTTAAACGTTTCAGTAAAACAAATGGGGGGAAAAACTGCGTTTAATCGGTGTCAGACAAGACAAAAAAAAAAGAAAATGTTAACTTTCACCCCCACAGCAATAAGACAAAACTCTTCAGAAATAACTTAAATGGCAATAAATTCGCAATTTAAAAAAACTGTCCGGCAAAAACAAATAAAACTTTGCTCCAAAAACAAAGTTAAAATACCTGTTAGTCGTGAAGTGAATTTTCATCAGAACTATAATTTATTTTTCAGTTGTTTTAATATTTCATACCGCCACAAACTGTCATTTGATTTGCCTATTGTATAAAGAGGTTCCGCCTCTCTAAAAACGTGTATGCAATTTTAAAATATGCCTACATATATTAAGTAATGTACAAAACTAGATGATATCGTAGACCTTTCACACATAAAAATAATTTAAAATACACACTCGAATGTAATAAAAACACCTTAGCAGACTTTCTGTGCTGTGTCTAGTAACTATTGGGTTAAACTCTATGCATGTAGCACACGTTTCTGGATGAGAAATGATACAATAACCCTCCTTACATAAGATGCATTACAAATGCATTGCGATGAGATTGAGAAGACTCGAGAAAAAAAATTAAGCCCAACTACCACGGTTTCAATTTTGAATATAATTTCATCAACTTTTTTATGAGCACATGGTGTGTCCAGGTTAGCGAGGTTGTTGCTTTTAACTGATTATTTCAACAGGGTCTAATTTTTAAAGCGAACATTCTAATGAAGGTATATTTTAGCGCAATGTTAATAACAAGGAATTAAAGTATATCATCATTTAATTAACACCACATAAGCGTATTCCATTAGTATTAAAGTCCAGAAATGTTGGCTGAAGCCTAAATCATTCCACCCATTACTTTTCTCCAATGTGTGGGGTATTTTCCTTTCCATTATTTTAATGACTTTGAAGGTTGTGCCTAGCGTCTTCGCAGCGTAAATATTTCAATATTTCATAAAATCTTTGTCTTGAGTACGTGTGTTTTAGTGCGAGGCTGAGAAGGAGGAGGGGGCTGGATTTGGAGGTGGGGAGGAGCTGGAGAAACAGATATTAAAATAATACCAAATTAAATTCTAATTTTCATAGCTCAAAAGTGTGCAGGCGGAGATCAAATAAACACATTTAAATAATTGCAGTAAATACTGTGCTGTTTGTTAAACTTACAGAACGCCTGAATAAGCATTGTTACTTTACAAAGGCAGCACGATTGACACACTGCTCAAAACCTAAATTCGGCAAGTGAAGAGCTATATTAATTCCGGCAGACGTGCTAAACGTCGTGTAACTCGGGGTTATTTTAAAGCAAATGAAAGTCAAGCCGTAGGTGTTAAAAACAGGATGAATAAAATACAGGAACAAAGCAGCTCCCCGCTATGGGAACGGATATTATTTTTAACTAATAAAACCAGAAACAATATTTTAGTTGGAAGTTGGAAGAGTGAAATACATGTGCTGCTCACAAACTGTTACTTTTTTTTTTCCCAGAGGAAGTATCTACACGGTACAACGAAAGAAACGTGTATACTGCCCCATAACGGTTAGCTAGACAAGGAAAGCTGAACTTGATTGCGACCCGCATGACTCAGGGATAACGCCTCAATATGCTGATCTATCCACATGTAATCCAGTATTATCTAATGAAGGTATTATTTCTTATGCGATTTGTGTTGGTTGAAAGCGGCACAAAATGTGCGATATATACGTGCACAAGCATCTCGTTTCTGAAGTGCCGAGACATGTGAACGAAATCCATACTCTGACAGGCTTTATCAAACGTAGCTATTAAAAAAATGTGAAATAAAACCGGACAAAGATATGTATATTTATTGGTTATTCATCTTCAGATTCTCATTTGTTTAATGTTTCCACTTACGGGCGTTTTCTTTTGACAACGGTTTGCCGACATCCGAGATATTTTTCACTAACGTTTTGTTTTTCTTGCACTGGTGTATATGAGTGACATTTTTGTGAGTTTAAAAGCAACATTTCCATCTATATATGTATAATTATGTATATTTATTGAACCTGGACATGTGTGTTATGATTTTATATATAAAAGATATTCAATCTTTCAGTTCGAATCCTAAACCTCTGAATTTCGCATGCTTTGTTTAAAAATAATCTAGTGAGCTCAGTTTTCAGTACTTCATGCCCTTTGAATCACTATCGAGTGCGTGAAATGCTCAATTTAAAATCATATAAGGAGTTCTGCCTCTATATTTAAGAGAGAAAGTTCTTCATAAAATGCAGAGTAGTTATTTTTTTGCATAAAATGTTTCCCCTATTACACAGCGAAAACATGATGACTCATACAACAACATGAGGAGCTCTGAGCACAAAAAAATAAGGAACTCTGTCCTACAAAACAGACATTCAATTCTGTTTAACCACAACGGCAAGAATAGTATTTAAAAGTACAAAATGAACCGGACTATAAACGGGACCAAGCAAAACACAACTCCAGTAGAATTTAGGACCGTTCTATATATACACTCCCGCACATATACAAATGCACTGTTGTGTTGAAAGGGTTACTGTAGGTTAATAGAATTGACAGAAGGGTATGCGTTGAACTTCTCCAAGAAAAAAAGTCAGACCGAGAGAGAGACAGATAACGTGAAACCAAGGAAACCCCTACTTATTTAGCACAATTTTTGCATTCCATACATCTGGAGGAATTTACGCTTGCGAAATCCAAGAACATTTGGGGTATAGACTGTTTTATGATATCCCATAATCCGCACTCTGCTCTTTCCACCGACCAACAGTTGCTTTAGATTAGATTTAGAGACAGTAACCTGGAACTACACATGTGGCCTTTCTCCGAGTCAAAGGTCATACACCCTCCCCTGTCCTAAATCGGCAACTTCAGAGCCATCATACAACAGAATACGTGGTTGATGATCTAATTGAATTATGCGTTTCTGTTATAGAGACAGCAGTGCACGTGCTTCTCGCCGTTAATTATTTTATAGCTACACCCGGGCGGTGTATAGACCATATATAATAACCCGAACCAAGTCGTTTCGCTGCAAAGACCCAATAAAATAACGAAAAGGAAAAGTTAAGAAAACTTCACAGCCTGTCACTTGTGAAAGTGCAGAAGGGTCGCCATAAATCTTGAGCTATAACGCTTCCCAGTGTATTTATCGTCCGGGTCGTGTGTTCCGAGGAGTGCGAGGCAGAAGAGGCAGACTGACGAGAAAACACGGGGTGTGTACGTGTGTCAGCGTGTATCTGCCTGTCCGCAATTGTGTTCATGGCATTTGCTCCTGTCCACTTTCTAAAAGAGCCTTGCGTGGATCTCGAGTTCATCAGGGAAATACACACACCCGAGGAGAAGCGAACAGCAGGCCTGAGCCCAGGCTGTAACCAACAGATGAGCACTCACTGTCGTATTTTTCCGTTAACTTATTTATCACGCCCGCTCCTATGCCATCAAATAAATCATTAAAAAAAAACTACGGGACGTTACTGTTGTTTCCTTTCATTCAACGTCCAGTATACAGGGTTCTCTGAAACGGTCATCTCCGAGCTCTTACAATGTCCTGCAAGTACGTTAGAAAGAACACGCGCATTACTTCCCACGCACGATCTTACAACACTCTATCAACGCATCCCTTGGATTATAAAATAGCACTTTAAAAAAAAATGCCCATAATTTAACTCACCTTGAAAGTTTAACATTATTCTCGATGCATGTGTTGTAAGACCGAGGGCTGTGTAGATGGCGCGTGAGTGCAGAAATAGTGATTCGAAGGTTTTTTTTTTTCCACATCTCTAATAAAATAAAGAATGTGGGGCTCTATCCTGAGACTGATTGGGGAAGAGGATGTGAAAGGCTTTCAGTTATAAAGCTCTGCTTGAAGCGCTCAGCGCGTCTCTGAACTTGATCAGATTTTACGTTTCCTGCAGCGAGTCGGCGACAACCCTGTGAAACTGGCTCAATAGCCCCAGTTTTTTTGGCTAAGCAAAAATCTGAGGATATTACAATTACTGCCATCTTTCTTTCCGTCTTTTATTTCCTACACCCTATAGTGCTTTGGAGAAAAAGACGAACCCCCTCCCACGCACCAACGCGACAGCGAGAATTCGGAACTCAGCCAGAGAACCTTATGACCACGTAAAGCGAGAATCCAGAAATAAAATAATTGATCGTAAAAATTAAAAAATAACGCAATTCCTTTCCAGTGTAAATTCAAATACACAATCCCGTTTATTATGGGAAATGTGTGCAATCGATATTTTGAATCAGTCTACCAATCTATGTAAAAATGGTAGCAAAGGTTATATTAATTACACGGTATTTTTACTTATGTTTGGGGAGAGGGCGATACAGCAACACAGTGCAACGACTGAGCAGCCCCTGCTTCAGCAACGCTTTATTAGAGCAAGCGTGTCAGAATGAGAAAAACAGACGCGTGTTATTACGAGAAAAAAGTTATACGAAAAGAGAATCTAAATAAATCTACTGCTGTTTCAGGGTTTAGAAAGTTGCCGATTTTATTATTCTCTCCTTGCCCATATTTCAAAAGGCTGGGAAGTTTTATAGCTTCACCCAAGGGGACGATTTAGCTAAACAGTTCGCCATTACTAATTAAAAAGAACGGAGAAAGCGCGAATGACTTAATGGCATCTGAAGCATCACGAAATATAAATCGTCTCATTTTCTCTGTGTTTTTCTAGAAAACAAACAAACAATAAAATAAACGCAATAAGCAACTTTACAGACGACACAGTCGATTTTTTTTTTTTAATTGAAAAGGCGCGAGCTGGGGTGGAAAAAAAGACCCAGCAACGCTTTTTAAAAATAGTATTTGAAGTGTGTGCGTGTGTGTGTGTAAAAAAAAAACTAAGCAAATTAAAAAGATACGTTTCAAAACAGCTGGCGGGTTTAGAAAGAAGGGGAAATAAACCAGGCACAATTTATTCAAGCGAGAGAATATCCCGTAGCCTTACCTGCAAATAATGCCCTGACTGACCAATCAGATCGAAGAGCGGCGCTGATCTGCCATTTTCAATGCGAAACGGTGCCAATCAAGAGCGGCGCAGCCAATGAGCGCGCCGGGATCCCGTCACGTGCCGAAGAGGCCGCGAGGCCCTCATTGGTCAGCGTGGGGCTGCCTCCCGAGTTCATTTATGTGCAAGCAGTGAGTGATTGACTTTATCAGTCCAAGGACATCATTCACTTGGAAAGGGGGGGAAAGTTTGATCCTCTTTCTCAAGGATCACAGTTACGAGAGTTTTTCTCCCCCAGTAACTCCAAAAAAAAAAGGGGGATTTTTTTTTTCTCGCCTTTTGCAAAAAATTTTTTTTCTTCTCCCGTGCACACAACCAAAACAAAAGAGAGTTACAGTTCTTCGGCGTTGTTTTTTTTTTACCGAACTCAGCAAACCTGGGTTAATTTTATTTTTTTTTGTTCCGTCTCTTGTCCCTTTTTTTTTTTTGTTGTTGTTGCTCTTGTTGTTGTTGTTGTTGCCGTTTTCGGTTTGCTCTTCCCGAGTTGCTCCAGATGACGATGCTACTCGACGGCGGACCGCAGTTCTCTGCGCTCGGAGTTGGGGGTTTCGGAACGCCAAGGCACCACGAGATGGGAAACAGGGATCCGGGTTTGGGGCTCAATCCCTTTGGAGAGTCTTCCCATTCCGCGGCGTTCAAGCTGAGCCCCGTGGCTCACGACATCTCTTCCAGTCAGACCTCGGCGTTCACCCCGCAGGCGTCCGGATACGCCACCGCTCTCGGACACCACCACGGCGGCCAGGTGGGCTCCTACGGCGGCGGAGCGTTCAATTCAGCCCGAGACTTTTTGTTCCGAAACCGCGGCGCCGGCATCGGGGATTCTGCAGCGGCCGGCGGCCAGCACGGGATCTTTGCTCCGTCGGCCGGCAGCCTGCACGGACCTCCGGGCATCTCCGACAACCCGGGGCACCTCCTGTTCCCCGGGCTGCACGAGCAGACCGCGAGCCACCCGTCCCCGAACGGGCACGTCGTGAACGGCCAGATGCACCTGGGCTTGCGCGGGGACCTCTTTGGACGGCCAGACCCGTACCGACCCGTCGCCAGCCCCCGGACGGACCCCTACGCCACTGCCCAGCTGCACAACTACAACCACCCCATAAACATGAACATGGGGATGAACGTGCCGACGCATCACGGTCCGGGGGCATTTTTTAGGTACATGAGACAGCCCATTAAGCAAGAAATGTCCTGTAAATGGATAGACGAGACCCAGATGAACCGACCCAAAAAGACCTGCGACAGGACTTTCAGCACAATGCACGAGCTGGTGACACATGTCTCTATGGAACACGTTGGCGGCCCAGAACAAAGTAACCACATTTGTTTCTGGGAAGATTGCCCTAGGGAAGGGAAATCTTTTAAAGCCAAATATAAACTGGTGAATCACATCAGAGTGCACACGGGAGAGAAACCGTTCCCCTGCCCATTCCCCGGTTGTGGAAAAATATTTGCCCGCTCGGAAAATCTGAAAATTCACAAACGAACTCATACAGGTAAATACGGCGGCATTGCATCCCTCCCGAGCAGCGCTCCGAACGCGCGAGCTTGCGTTGGCCTTTTACGTTATTTCGCGTGCTAACCGAAATCGCACCGGCGGAGCTCAGAGGTCTGCAGAATTTGTCTCAGCTTAGGGATTACAGGCCTGTGTTGTTGTGTTTTTCGAGGGTGAGTTTAGAGGAGAGGAGGCGAGCGCCGTGACACCAATAAAAGAAGTAAGTTACAGTGATTCAAACACCAGCTGCTCGCGCCTGGAGAGCGTCCGGCAGACTCCATTAAAATAATTCCGTACACAAACATCATAAGGTATTATGCTAGATCTGCTGGGATCTTTTTATTTTATTTGACAACAACTGTACTCTTGCTTGTTTTTAAATAAACGATGAAGTTTCTCGGGTCTCTGGGCGGTTGTTTAGATACTTCTTGAGCTAAAAGCTGGACGATGTGTAAAAGTACAAGTGCAATGTTTAGTCTTAAGGCCTGATGATAACTGGAGTCTAACAATCATTGACGCTGCTATATCGGTGGCATTTATGAGTCAAAATAAAACATCATTTACTTCCGTCCTATTTCTGATTGGCACATCCTAATTAATCACTAAAACGTTTTGGTAGTCTTTTTTGTATATAGGTAATATTAAAGAAAATATATTAAGGTTTAAAGCTGTTGATGTATTTTTTTTTCATAGAAATTCACTTCATGTAAATAAGTAGAAAACTTACTGAATTCCGGGTAATTAAAAAGAAGCGGTCTGGTTATTTATTGGTGGGCAGTGTTAGACCAAGATGATTGCCATGATTTGAGATTTAAGATATGTTGACATTTGCCCTTACAATTTCAACTGGAATAAAATCTTCGAATATCCTTTCCCCGTATTTTCTAAGAATCATTATTGGCAACCGCCAAACGCGAGTTGGTGTTTTGTGAGTTCTGTTTTCCCTCATGCAAATGTAAAAGTTTACCACTTATTGCTTATTTATCTTACTTTCTCTTGTAGGTGAAAAGCCCTTTAAGTGCGAGTTCGAGGGATGTGATAGACGCTTTGCAAACAGCAGTGACAGAAAAAAACACATGCATGTCCACACCTCCGACAAGCCGTACATCTGCAAAGTGTGCGACAAGTCATACACACACCCCAGCTCTCTCAGGAAACACATGAAGGTAATTAACTGTTTATTTACCGGGTGTAAATACATTAACCTATTTTTTAGTCTCCTTGCAATAACAGCCAGAGACGGAAACAATTAATATGGAAAAATATTTAATTTTCAGCTCTCTCTGGTCTTTTGTTTACTGAATATACGCGTGGGGTTTCCGGAGCGTCAGTATTTGCTGAAGTTTTTATCAAATGTAAAATCCTTATATCTACCCAAGTTTCATGGTTAACCCATGTTTTTGCGTTGTTGTTCTTTTTTTAGGAATGGACAAATGTAAAATATATTAGGAGCAACTTAAAGATTTTATAGCGAAATGCTCTGGGTTACATTACGAAAAAGACCTTTAATCAATGTTACACCACTAAAATAATTAAAAACAGTGCATTATTCCCGGGTCTAATTTGTCTTTTTTTTCCCCTAATCGGCATCTCCATAATAAAACCTGTCTTTTTTGTGTTGTCTTCAAGCAGTTAAGGATAAACGTACTTTCACTACTGGTGGGACACCATCACCTTTCCTCTCCCCCAAAGCGTGATAAAAAGAGTTGATGTATTTTTTGCATAAACGGGAGTGATTTCCAGACAACGTGTCTCCAGTGTCTCTAGCTGATCCGCTCTTGTTATCGCGGTAGGTTCACGAGTCGCAGGCCTCGGAGTCCTCTCCGGCAGCAAGTTCGGGGTACGAGTCGTCCACGCCACCAGCCCTGGTTTCGACGAGCACCGAAGACCCGACAAAAACGCCTCCTTCAGCAGTGCAAAACACGCCAACTCATAGCGAGGGACTTCCGCCCAACTTTAATGAATGGTACGTTTGAAATCGAGCAAAGCAAGACTCTGAAATGGACCAAAAGGTTAAGGAAAACCTAAAATCCACACGCGCCCTAAGGTGTACAAAGGGGAAACGAAATCGCATTGGAGGACATGAAATTTTATTTCAGTAGGCATATAGAGCGTCGGGCAGGCCTCGTCCTTTCTCAGGATTAGAAACTGACTTTTATTGGGAGTACGAAAATGAAAAGAAAAATAGAAAGGGTTTCGTTTTTAGTTTCCAGGTTTCAGATAATTTTATTTTTCATTTGTTTTTTTTTTTATTAAAGGAAGAATCTTTCACGGTGTGTTCTACGACGATGGTGATTTTCAATATCGCCTTAGAATTGATTGTTAAACCTTCACACAGTCTTAAGAAACGTGCCAAAGTCTTTTATGTCTTGAACTTGAACAAAAAATAAATATATACTCGTGAATGTATTCCTTGTTTGATGGGGTCGACTCTATTGTTAACGTCCGTTTTCAGGTGGAGAATGTGGTATTGTTAGAATAACGATTGTTACCGTTGAATATACCGTTGCCTTTTGTAATAACTTTGTAAATACATATCCATGATGCCATATTTATCAATTTGTAATTTAATTATCGGCATAAGTTCCGAAACTGAAATGATATTTATGGAAATGTTTTCTAACAAGACTATGTACAGTTTTGGGTTATAACCATCTTAACATTAAAATCCTCGAATTTAAAGATCAGGTACTGCGACTGTATCTTTCTTTAAAATGTGGTAGAGAGCTATAAAACACGAGATCAATAATGTGCTGACATATCCTTTAAAAGTGTTCTGTGTTAGACTGTGTTAGCTTGTAGATACATGTCAGTGTACAACACCGTACTCGTAGAGCCTGAATATTTATTAGGCTGACAGATTGTCTAGTAAATCTTTGTCAGTATACTAATCTTGGTGAATTCACTTTCTTCTCATTTTGCTTTAATTTACTCATAGACTCAGCCTGTACAATGAATTTGTACAAGCAATTGCATCTCACCACACATTTAGGAATCCATCAATTAGCCATAAATCATATACATATATAATTATATAATGGCCTTAAAACACGTTACAGCCAATTAAGTTCACATATTTGCAGTTATGAAACTGGCTACAGTTGCCAGTCGAAAATGTTTGCAGAAAGATTACAATGATGTAAGTATTTTCAAACTCGTAAATGCGCAAAAACAACTGAGGTCCCCTTCAGCTGGATGTCTGATTACGTGCACAAACCCCGTGGAATTTTACAGCAGTTAACTTTATAATAACAGTTTCTTTTTCTGTCCACTTGCACTTTAAAAATGTAGTTTTTTTTCTGGAATTTGAATGATAATTTAATGTTTGTAATTTTAAGTGGCCTTTGATCTCCAAGACCGGTATAAATACATTTTATGTGGATGATTTAACGTCTACAAAACTCCAAGTTAGTTTTTTCAATGAAGTGCATACTAAGATTTACGACATCCCATCGTGTGATCCATAGTTATTCCACAAAATGTGACATATTCTGCCCAAAATTGGTGTAAGAATAAAACTGCTGTTTATTCCCCCCTCAAATCCTTTCTTTCGAATTATTTAAAGTTTTTTTTTCCACGCATAATCTTTGAAAGAAAATAAGTCGACCTCCTTAACTTTCAAAGGATTCAAATACAGTGAACGTCAGTTTTGATGTTGAGGTGGCACACGTCTCTAGTAAGTTATTAAATTATCCATGAGGGGTAATTCTTTCCGTTTTCTAAACTGTATCGCCACATAAGGCATGAAACCACGATATTCTGGCGAGAACATAGAGAACGGTCTTTGACAAACGGAATTACACGTTTTTAATAACCTGGGTTTGTGAAGAATCGAGCAATATTTGTGCTCGTTAGTTTAAAAACAAAATTTGATATACAACGCCGAACTTCAACGTACTTCTTAAAATATTTAAAACTGATCTTTCATTGCCTTCCTGGCTGTCTCACTATTGTAGCCTGAGGACAAAATAGGCAATCGACTTGAACTTGACGGTGGGAAGGATTCGTCTATTATCTTGTTTCTGGAGTGATAGAGACAAGAAAAGTTTCTGTTGCCTGAACTGGTTTTCCTTAGGTTTGATCATAACCACCGAAGAGCACAGCACCCAGAACTCTTACAAGAACTGACAGCGTGTCCTTTCGTAACAGTGATAGAGTTTTCCTCATCCCTCCGTGAATAGAGCGGGCTCTGAGCGCAACAAGCTTGCGTCTTATTTCAAAACTGCTATATTCTGGGACTCAATGTGAAACTGACATAATACAGCTGTGTTCCTTTCGAAGTCCTGCATATACCATCTGTATAGTTTTACCCGAGCAGAGATGGAAGATCTACAGTATGACGTTTTGCGGGTCTGTAACATCGGGGCGAATCAAAGCTGAGTGAGTATTGACTGAAATGCGTGTCATTCCTGTACGCTCATAGCTTTGTCGTATTTTTATGGGGTAGGAAGCATGTGACTTTAGCAGGGAAAACGTATATTATTGTTTGTAATAATAAAAGACTCGCGACAGGTTTATAGAGTGATGGAAAGTCGAGTTCCTCAAGATCGTTTGCTGGGCTTTGGGTGTCAGTGTACACAAAAATAAACCACCGAAATGTGCTGCATAATAAATATCAGAGGGGGCATGGCACGCACACACTGGAATATAATATATTAATGTTTAAAATCAAAACTTCTTCCAAATGTGAGTTCACTGTTAGGCAACAAATGTGAATCTCGCACATCTCGCAACCACGGAAATAGGAAAATCTGTCTCGACAAACGTTCTTCTGCTATCTTAAAGAGGCTATCGTCTGTCAATAATAGTTTAGGAATTAGGAATTAAGAATAGACTGAATACAGACTTACATTAAACATATAACCTGGGGGAAATGCAATGTGAAGATTAAAAACCCCCTTTCAAGTACAGTGAGGCAAAATGCAGTACATGACAACACGAAACGAACACCACCTTCTGAAAGTTATCTGAAACAGAATGTGCCCACCTGTTTATGTGTAGTCTTTGGTAGACTCAGTGTAGTAAGAGCAATTTACAAATGTATAAAAAGTTTATGTTTATTAAATATAACAAACACGTGCTATTAACGTTTAATGCCAGTTGTACCTATTTTAAACCTTCGAGATAGTTCATGTCATGGCTACCCTCTCCATAAATACAATCCAACGCTCCAGTTTAGCACGTCTCTGGTGTTTTCAAGTTCACAATCTGAGCGTAAATCTGTGGAGAGTGTTACAGACATCATTACCAGTGATAATCTGTTTTAAATAGGCTATTTTCGACACGTTATTCCGACCTATTATTGAAATACGCCACTTAGAACTAGTTTTTAATTATTATCTTAATTGCCAACACTTGGTCGGAACATGCAGAAAGTTAAAGCAAGAAAATATTTATCGTGCACGTTTATTCCTTGGCAGATGCAACGTTACGATTCAGTTCAATACATTTCCGTAATTCGCTGTCTTTTCATCCCAACCCCCACAGACCCCCACCCCCATCTTCAGATACAAACAGTATTAAGAATTTATTTAAACCCCGGGTTCCCCCTTCTGCGCAGGCGTGCCCTATTATCTTCTCCGGCAGTTCAAGTTCCTTCTTTGACGAACCCAATGACGTCACAAGATGGCGCCAGGTGCCCCGCTGAGCCACAATAGAAATCCTAAGTGAACTTGGCGACTAAAACAGTCTTTGTTGTAACAGTTTAGTGGTAAACCAAAGAAGCCGAGAGCAATATTTTATTGGTTTATCGACATTAAAGTTAGTTGTATCACAAGGAGATGAGCCATCTCTGCGGATAAGGCCTGTCTTTTCCAAAAGGCTGCTTTCTGTGCGTTCTCAAAGGGGATTAGAAAGCGCTGCCAGTCACGTGGTCTAAGTGTTTAGGAGCCGCGGCTTGTCAGTAATGATGTTGACCGCAGCTTTAGCGTTGTAACAATGTAGTCTACGGCAGCGCCCGCCTGTGCACATTTTGACTGGTAGCGTGCACACGGCCCCAGGTTTGAAGCAACCTTGCAAACATTTTTTTAAAATGAAAAGTACGGTGAGGTGTGGAAGAAGATCGTGCAGAAGTTGTGTAAACGTCTCTTTAAGATACTGCATTTTAAATTACTTTTCCATTGTGTGTATATATATATAGCGCATGAACGCTGGTCGGTGTAACCCGTGCATTATCATGTTTAACAGTTATTTCTCACATTCACTTACACCAGGCTAGCCTACAAAATTTAAGGAGCGAGCTACATTCCTCCAAGACCCCGAATTCTCAAATGTCCAGCGGTTAGGATGAATTAACACCGATTCGCTAGACTGATAGACAACCCCCGGCTCTCCTCCTCCCTTCTCCTCAATCACATAGTATTTGTTAGGTAAGCAGGGAAGCGCCGTCTAAGAGGATAAACCGAAGCAAGCATGTTCCGAACGCTTTTTGTCACGCAACCGAGTTTATGGGGCGCTAATAAAGTCAGTGGCTAAATCGTGTCGCTCTGGCCCGCCTTACCACTAGTGAGTATACCTTCAGGTGTTCAGAGACGACGCGTGCAACTCGTTGCCACTCCGATTTACCTTCAGCTTTCCAATGTTCGAAATAAAAAAACACGCTTTTTTGGCCCAGAAAAACAAACAAACGGTTTTACCATAAAGTTATGTTACTGCAAAATATGTTCCTGATTATGTTAGTTGAACAGCTATGAAATTCGTGAACTAACATGTGTAATTCATTTCCTGTGTCATATTCTATGCAAAGTTGCATCAGACTATTTGGAAAAGCCTGAATGTCGTTTTCCACTGGTGTTAACAGGTTTTTATTTTACAAACAGAAAAGATCGTCTGTATAAAACAATCTATACAGTTCACACAGAGTTTCATAGAACTAACATACAACAATAACTGTTGCCATTTAGAAGATAACGGTATATGTAATTGTTACGAGGAAACAAAAGACAAAAAATCGTTCTTGAATCTTGCAGAATCAACGAAATGCTAAACTTAGATGAATTTCATTAATGTATAAAACATGTGAGCTATTTAAGCATTCTTTTGCAAAATCGACGTTTATTAGTAGCATATTAGTAACATCAACGTTGAGTTTGACCGAGCATGAAATGTTTTAACTGCATCTCTGTTCAAAAGCCGAGAAAATGAGCTTTAACGATATGAAATCCGCAATCTCGTTTCAGGCAGCTTGATCATAAAATATTGATCTGTTGGTACTAGATTCTCTACTAAAACATCGCGAATCTTTTCTGCAAAAATGAAGACCCTTTAACAGTTGTAGATTAAAACTTCGGTACCCCTTTACTTTGCACATTTTTTGTGTGTTTTTTTTTAACATTCCCTTGAAAGTACAGATCTCGCATTTTCTAGTAACAGGAACAAAATCAACGACGCCTTTTGCATAAGAAAATCTTAGTGGTATATGAGCGTTAATCACATTCTCGCCTGCTTGCTGGCAACATATTTTAACATGTGCGACTACCTTGGACGAAATGAGCATTGTCGATGTTGTTTATGGTTTAAACTGACACAAGTGCCGTATTCTATTGTGGGATAGCCTAGACCTTTTGCGAAAAGAATACCATGTAAACTATAGGAATTAAAAACAATTCTGTCGTACTTGTCTGTTTAGTTGTTCTTACTTGCTCTCTTCATTAAGTCTCGGTTTATAGGATACATCTGATCTGGGACA